GGGAAAACTAAAACTGGTCGCAATTTTCGAATAGAATGAGTCGGCAATTTTTAGTGGAGTCGAAAATTTGGAGGTAAATAAAACACCGAAACCCGGCAAATAAATAGGCGATCAAATTTTAGAGGGGTCGAAATTTTGGAGTTTTCACGGTACTAATTATTCCATTTCAATGAAACCTAGTACAAAGATGCTCTAGGACAATGTACAAACCTAAATAGTTTGGGGTAAAAATCTGTTCATATTAATTCCCTAATAAGCATAATAATTAATAATTTTTTGGTTCTAATCACATTTCAATTAAACTTGGAGACATAGATTTTCTGTTACATTGCGCAGACCTCATTAGTTTTACACTCAAATCTGGTCATATTAATTTTCTGATTTGCATAATTACTTTTCAGCTAAGTAATTTCGAATTATATTTAATGTGTCTCCAATACTCTCAGCACATGGGAGTTCTTTCTAAGCTTTCTTTGATTAAGCATTTTGTATGGAATTTATTTTCACTGATTTTTGTCAAGTTGAATGTAATACATAGGAAAAAATGTATATTCGCTGGATTTTATTTTCACTGAATCATCCCTTCAGCGAAAATAGCGAAAATTAATTCCAAGCGAAAATAAAGTATTCTACAGTAGCAGAACCTTTCAACAAATAAGCTGCTTTCTGATTGGTTTGAATGTTAGATGTTAGGGTTGTGTAGCCAATCAGAAACAATTTTGTAAATCTGTGCAGGTTTATTGTATGAAAGGTAACAGAAGTTGGCATTTAAAGAGTTAACCTTTTCACCAATAGTTTCCACTTTTCATCACAAATTTACAAAATAGTTCCGTTTATAGTTTTTACTTTTCTTCAGAAGATTCAGAGAAAATTAGCCAAATTAAAGTAAAAACTGAAAAATGACTCAAATTTTGTCTGTTGGCTCCAAAATAGGGTTCATTTCTAGAAATATTGAAGAATATAAGAAAAAAGTGCAGACAAATTTGGGCAAGGATGTCTGGTGGTGAAAAAGTTAAAGCCTCTTGAATGCTTTGAGTTCTGAAGTGTCTTTTGTTTTGAGTCTTCAACACATGTTTTAACTTGATTATTTCTGTTTGTTTCAGGTGCCTGTGAAGCATCTTTAGCTTGTTCTACATGTCATGTTATTGTCCATGATGATTATTATGATAAGTTGCCGGAACCCGATGAAAGGTACGATATGTTTTTTAGGATGGTGTTTATCTGACAACTGCATTGCAGCAGTGTTCACTGGGGATTTTTTAAACCATTTTCATTTGAGTAACTATTTTCAAGTATCCAAATAAACCATCATTGAATGTATTTTCTAAAAAAAAAAAGATATTGTAGGCCCAGCAATCGTATTTTGGCAAATTTGATGTCATTGCCATAATGTTTTGAATAACAAAAACAGCAAAATTGCCAGCTTACTCGATTTATGACAATTAAATTATGACTATACTGTGTGTTTTCGTGTCTGCAGTGAAGATGACATGCTGGACATGGCACCACTTCTAACAAGTACATCCAGATTAGGCAAGTATATGCAATCTCTTCTAAACAATATTTTTTTTCTGGTCCTAGAATGTTCTAAAAAATGGTGCAATAATTTTGTTTTTCATTTTCACAAAATTTTGCTCCCCACTCGCAAAAAAAGATGTGGTAGTTTTAAACTGACATACATGCCAACCAGAAACAACTCTATTTTCCTTTGCTATGGCCTTGTCACATACACTACCTGGGTTACCATTACTACATGCAGATGCAATCAATTCACTTTGATGTTTCTTATTCACATACAACTTGTTACACCGTTGAATCTTTCTGTGTTTTGTTTCTATACTTTTCTATCTGAAGTAACACGTCTGTTGACATTTACAATTATATTACCACTGACTAAAAATCATTCTAATTCAATCTCTCTAAAAATATATTTCTTTTTTAAAAATTATAAATCAGAACCCTCCATGAATAGTTTTTACCGGTAGTTTGTGGATTACTTCCCTTGTTTATTTGTCATTGTTTTGTATATAATAAAGTAAAGTACATTCATGATCATGATAATTTACTAACAGGCCTGTTCTTGTTAACCCATTGGACACCAAAGTCAAGTTTTGCCACTATTCATAAATTAAATAGCACATCAATTATTTATTTATGTCCAAAATTATGATAAAGACCTGTAGCCATAAGAAATTATTTCCATAAAAAAATAGCTAAACTGTTGCACTAAAATTTCAGCGGGAAAAGTTGTAGTACATGGAAGTCAAATCAATTTTTGTCAGCTTTCACTGAATAAACCTGCATAATTGTTTCCATATTTGTTTCAAAAATGCAGCCAATGGGAAATTATGTTCATTTGGTGCAAAATTAACTAATAATTAATAGAAAAATATTTAAAAATTACAAAAAGTTATAAGTACATTTTACAACTATAGAGGTAAATGCTGCATATAACCTATGAAGTACAATTTGTATGATTACCTATCTAAATATTTTTATATTCTTTTGAAATCTGGAATTCAGAAATTGTTGGTTAGTTTGTATTTTCCCATTTAAGGTAGAGATGCAGTTTATCTGACAGGTATTTTAATTAGTTAATTAGGAAACCAAGATGACCTCCCTTATCCACAAAACTATATATTTTCGAAAAGCTTATTGTATGAATTTTGAAATTTTGTTAGTATTTTTTTTTTATGGACACTGTAGTTCGAAATGTGCATAAAAATGTGCTTTTTTGGTCAAAAGTGATTTAAAAAAATTTGCTTCTAAACCATTCTTCTGTTTCCTGTCCAAAATTGGTTTATGGGTACATTTGTTTACTATGAAGATATTGCCGTCTTGAAAACTGTCTACCAGTTGTCAATTTTGCAGGGCAGCAGCTCAAATTTCACTACTTCAAGTTTATGCAAAAATTAACACCAAGGCTAGTTGTCTGTATGATTGTTGTAACATTGTTCAACCAGAAACAATGTCCCGACGGCGTTCTGAAGATAAACACATTGTCAATCATTTGTGAATCAAAGCGTCTAGGAGCTATTTTTTTTAAAGTTCTGTGATGTGCACTTAAAAAAAGCTGAGATAATTGCTAATTTGCATAACAATTCACTCAGTAAGAAGTTTGCTAATGCTCATAATTAAAATGGCTGTAACAGTTCCAAATTTAAATATATTATCGTTTTGTTACAAGTTAAATATAGTGCATAATATGGAGATCCCGTCATTTCTTTTTTTCACCAAGTTTCTTTTTTATTATTTATGTACAGCCTTGCTAAATCTTGCTAAGTATTCAAAAGAGATAATGTTTGCACCTGTTATCTATATTTTAAAATGGTTTTTTGAGTATGTTCCACTATTCACAATTCTACAAAATTTTAACAGTCTATAGCCAATACTGTTTGGATAATAAAAAGCAAAAAAAAAAAAATTTCACTCCCAAGTGCCCACAAACCTACATCTATACCTTAATTACCCTTTCCTCTTGAAAGTTGTTATGCGTTGGCAAAAAATATTAAAAATGAATATTAAAGACTGTCAATATACATGTGCATGAGGAAAATACATTACCATCCCTCAACTTGCTTTTAAAATTAGTCACAGCAAGTATGAACACGTTTTTGAATTAAAAATACGTACCTCTTCAAAGGTCAACCAACCCATTATTGCACTTTATTACACCACTAGAGGGCAGTCTACATTTCTCTCAGACCAATCTCATTCCAAGTTTGATGATGATAAATCTCGTTTTAGTACTGGCATATCAGTACAAATATTGAACTGTACAGATTTTTATTTATCATTAAAACTCTGGTGATATCTTGAATTTACAGGCTGCCAAATTATTTTAACAAAGGAACTGGATGGGCTTGAAGTCTCACTCCCAAAAGTCACCAGGAATTTTTACGTAGATGGCCATGTACCACAACCACATTGAAATGTGCATAGAACTATTTATAGTCTATCTGTCTTCTAGTAATGCAGCTATTTTGCCGAAATAAGCACTGCTTGTATCAAAGGAGCTCTCTTCTAGTTGTGTGATTGAATATACTTTCACCTACCTATCAGCTCAGTCTTTACAGGGTATACTTGTACCATAATGCTGTTTTTTTTGTTTTTTTTTATAAAAGTACAATTGTGATTTTGAATGTATGCAGTTTTGCATAAAAAAATAAATTCATCTACATGAAACATTCATGTTGTCTGGGAGTTTTATCATATTTTATCATCAAAAGGGTCGACCCCCCTACCCTGGGTAAGTGTGGGAAGGCCAATTCCACTGGCCGAGTTTCATTCACTAACGAATGCGACTTTGGGGGAACCTGACTGGGTGCTCGGCGGTATAACTGAGTTCCACTGTCTTGAGGAGAAGGGTTGACTAAGGAGTAAAGCCCACAGAAATCCGGAGTGGACACCCTAAGGCAATTGGATTGACTACTAGTCGCCTGGCCGGCTCCAAACGTGGTGCTCTGCATTCCCTTGGACTTCGTCGATGTGGAAGAGAGGGGAACCTTGTTGACTGGGCAGCACTAGGTTTCCATATACACATGCCCAGGCCTGCGCCCTGTAGAGACCACGAAGACTGAACGAGCGACTCACTGGGCGCAAACCCATCGAAGGATGCCTATTATACATTTGTTTCATGATCTGATCCAAGATTGCCAAATCGCGTCTGTTCTGGTGAGCATATATGCATGTCACATAATGTTTTGATCATTTCAATATGATGAGTGGTCCTTGGGGGGGGAAAAAGTATTACGTAATGTACCGTACAGTGACAGTGACCCAATTTTACCTGCTTTAATAAAACCTCCTAAAATAGTTTAGTTCTCTGTCACTTGCAGTGGATGCATATAAGAATTCTGAATTACTGACAGGCGTGATGTGATTCTCTTTGTGCATGTGCTTTGGTTCACCCATTGTAAAAAGGGCCTAACCCCCCCAGTGTACTGTAAAGGGGGTAATTATTCACTGGGTTTTAATTTAGCTTATTTCGCTGACTGGAGAAATGCACTAAATTAAAACACAGTGAATATGTAAAATTTAGCATAGAACACATTATCTAAATGACGAAACCGTGAATTTAAAACCCACTAAATATGCCTGAAATGGTAAATCAGTGAAATTTAAACCCAGTGAAAATTAGTCATTTTACAGTATTTATTTTTCTCTTTCATTGGCTTAAAGGGACAGAAAATACATGTGAACAGGATATTTTTTTACTGAATATTTCCAAGACATTTGCTAGATCGTACATGGATAGTTTTGAGGACAAACTTAGAAAAATTAGTTATGGCTTCTCTTGTAGTATCCCGCAGAGTAATAAATTAATTGCAGGTAATAATTTTTACAACTTTTATATTTGTCAACTTTGGTGTACGTGTTTGTACGTACAGCCAAATATATAACTTATCGTTTGTGCATTTTATTTTTCTTTAAGTTTACCAGTTGTGTAACTTCTATTGATTCTGTCTGCAATGAAGATAATAATGAGGCCGACTGGTACATATGCATTTTTCTTATTGACAAGATCTTTAAATGATACTGTAGTTGTTATTCACTAGCTGCTACACAATTCAGAAGGTGAAATCAGAATGGCCAGTATCCAGATATATTCACTGGACGGTGAATTTACAATCACCCAGCCTCATCCATTGCTCATTTTAAAAGGATGGTGTCATAACTGCACACATGATTCTTTGATTGTTATTAATCCACAATGCCTGCAGTGCAGTGCAGTTCATTAAATATGCACTATGGTGACAAGAGATAGAGAACCATGGCTTGAGGACGTATCTAGTTCCTTGTCTTCACATTTAGCTTTCCCTGTAAATGCACGTCTGGTATTTTATCAGCCTTGATGCAACTGATCAGTTGCAATGTTAATGAAGGTATGTAAAAGAATGAAGACACTGTTCCTTTTGGTGAAAATAAGACAATTTATTGAATTTGAAACACTTCCAAATACCAGTGGATAAACATAATCTTTGATGGATTAAATATCATACAGCTACAAACAGCATATCAATAAACAGGTGTTCTAAGGCAATTACAATATTAAAATCAGTGGTATTTGTGGCAATTAATGTATATAACAGAACTACCCAAACTACATGTGGCAACTCACAGGTTATTGATAAGATTATCATTCAATTGAATATTATTTAAACAGAATTAGTTTTAAAATCTTGTTTGATAGAAGGAACTCATATTGTAGAAACTAGTAAGAAGTATTTGTACTGAATGCTCAGTTTGTGAAGTCCTGCTTGAATAATTGGATATCAAGTCATCTTGATGTAACACAACACATATAATAGCTTTAGTAAAATTCACTAACATGCACTTCTGAGTAAAATCACTGGGCCGTTGTATGAAACAAATGGAAAATTTGTATTTCAAAATATGGTATGAAAATACACTAATTACCGGTAATAAACATGGAATAAATTCAAAATGTGTTGCTGCAATGGCATACACACACTTTTATTTCATTGGATAGTAGTCAACAGTTTAACAAATTATTCACAACTCATTATTATGCACACATTAATAATATTTACTACTTCTCTGTACAATTTATACAAGACAGAATGGAATAAATTTATAAAAGTGGGATAGGTTAGAGCAAGCATCTATTGCTTAAAGTAGAAGGATCATCATCTGACAGGCACCCACAGGAATTGAGACCTGAACAATGACAATGTATGCGAAAAAATAACAAAGACTTGCGGGTAAATGCTTACCGTATTTGTCGCATGCAGAGGTTTTTGATCTGATGCAGATTATCAAATATTGAGAAATATATCCGTATACAATTATACATCATAACATTTATTTACAATTCATTGGCAATATTTATTTCATTAGAAATATTGAAGAGTGCGATCTCTGTGTTGATACATTGAAAATTACTGGTAATCAACTTGAGCAAAATCCTGTTTGATATTGAAAGACTAAATCTTTAAATAAGAAAATATAGTGCAAAATAAAGTATCTGTACAATATAATAGTACTGATAGTTGTAGTGAGAAGACTGAAAATGGGCAGGAATGAAAAAAAATAGAATGTGCTACTGTAAAATACTTTGTTTCCACTTGGAATTTATGGTTCAGTGAAAATAAAATCTAGCAAATATTTTTCCTATATTTTACATTCTACTCATCAAAATTCAGCGAAAATTAATTCCAGCTAAAATAAAGTATTTCCACTATAATGACTGTACATATATACAAGGTTTGGATTGAAATGTATTACCCATATGACTACAAGGCATGTTTTAGTATACTCATAGACTACTCCACCCACACACTATTGCAATTTATGAATTTTTAATTATACATTTATTTATCAATGCCAAGATATATATTTCTAGTAATATTTATAAATCACTCATTAAAGCAATAATTAAAATATGATAAATAATTTGTGTAATTTTGCAGCAATTTGATTTTTTTTTTGTTTAATTCAAATTATAATATTCAAGACTGCCAAAATCAGACAACCCAAGATTTATCCATATTCAGCATCAATCACTGAATCGTTCATGCAAGCATAAAAATCATTTAAAATTTATGCAAAGACATCTTCTCTCTATTAATGAAACCCTACAAGATGGCAGTCCTTCTAAGGTGCATTTCATTTAACAGCATGTTAACAAAATTGTGCTTTTATTTTGATGTTACACAAAAAATAGGATTTTCCATATCACACATATGTTAGAGCATTACCAGTAATTCGTCTGTTATTCTCGTGAGTACACTGCACCATACCTCAATTTAGTTACACAATGCACACATGGCTACAGTTAATAATCAAAGTAATGATTACCAGAAAACAGAACAGTGTTCGTTACCACCCTCTGTAACACTTTATTTAACCCAAAGCCATCCTAGTGATACCAATCATGCATGCCCTGTGTGTTGACATGCCATCTCATCATCTTGGCAAATGTTAACATCCTAGGTTCAATCTAATTTGATATGTCGAAAAAAAACTGTCAAGAAACAAGCTGCTCTGTGATTGGTCTGATTATTAGGGATTGGGTTGGGTAGCCAATCAGGTACAATGTTGTAAGTTGCTTTACATTGACTTCTTATTTCTAATGCAAATATCAAGTTCATTTTTCATTATTAAAATTCAGATTTTTATGTTTTTCTCCTTTTCAATTATTTTCACTCATTAATTCTCACCAAACTACTGAGAGGCCCTTAGAGTTTGCAAAACACTTTGGAACTTGTTATTCTTTTTGTGTATTGAGAAACATGCAAATATTAGGCCACATCAAAGTAATGACCAGTGGACTGTACTGCTGGGTTTGTAGCCATAAGCAAAAGGATGCATTAGTCCTATTATCCTATCCCTTTTGTGTTGAAGACAGTCATAACATTGTTATTTAGGGAGAACAAATACAAAACAAAAACTTTTTTAATGGGTGCTGGTAATTCAACTATGCTTTGATGTTGTTGTATTTACTGTCCGGTTTTAAAGGTTTTAATAAATGCAGCGTATATATGGACATTCATCACCATCAACACAGACTTCACAGCCTGCCAATGCCACCTTGATCAACTCTTTTGTCTCATTTGTAACGTTTTTCACGCCGGATACATTAAAATATGTGAGTGATTTCATGGACCTAGCAACTTGAACTATGCCATCCTCTGACAGTTTATGACATTGATACACGCTGAGCCAGTGCAGTGATTTCAGCGTACTCAAACTAACGACGCCCGAATCTGACAGTGAGACACACTGTGACAAGTTCAACATTTTTAATTTCTTCAAGTGTCTGCTAATGTGATGGAGACTCAGATCTGTTATGTCGCAGGCATTCAACTCTAATACTTCTAAATCTGGGAATTCTTCGGTTATGTGCTGCACTCCGGTGTCATTTATCCGATAACAGTTGCTGAGTTTCAGGACCTTGATGTGTTTCCGGATAGCTATGTCCCGGAGATCAAACTGGGCTATGCGGGTACATCTGGTTAAATCAAGGTACTCCAGCTCCGGGAGAGCATTGTGTTCTTTCATTCCTTTAAACCAGCGCATAGGAAGCTGACACGATCTTAGAACTAAGGTAGCAAGACTCTTTGGTAAACTAGTCACTTCCAGTGCACCAAAATTAGCCTCTACAACCTCTAAGTATTTTAAATTTGGACAGCGCTCCTTAAGATCCATAAGCACAGCATTAGAAAGGCACTCGGTATTCTTGACAGAATTTAAAAATCCTCTCAATTTCAATGATTTGAGGGAGGTTGAGAGATGATTTCTAACAACTTTCCAAACATTCCGCAAGTTTACACGACAATTCTGAAGATCAACATGTTGCCATAGTGATTTGTCATTAATGAGACGGTTCCAGGATTTGCAGACTCTGTATAATTGAAAGAAAACATAGTAATTATGCATTTTTGCTTGTAGTCACAAACATGCATACATACTCATCTACATACTCTCTAGAAGCAGTGAACTTTGCAAACTCATTGATACTTTCCGAGATGCTCATGTATGATTTGCAAAAAGTTGTAAAAGAATGCCCCTGGTTAAAAGGGGTGATAACAAATAAATGAATCTCAATAAAATTCACCATTGGCGACATTTGTTGGAACTGTGCCTTTGAATTTTTTTTTCAGTAACAGATCCATTGCACAGGGATTTAATATAAGGCAACAGGTGTAATGAAGACCTCAGTCAAATAAATTGTGCCTAAAATCACAAAATACTAACTGCAAATGATTGAGTGTAATGAAGGAGGTTAGTGTTGGGCTGTTTCCCCTAGTATACTCAGAAATTATAAGATAGTAGTACTTGTTTAAATAATTTGACGTTCAGTCATCAAGTGCATGTTGATGGCTTCGAACTCGCGGCGTTACAAGAGAGGGCGATATTTTAGAATCGGTCGGTTGTCGCCCACTCATTCACCCACTCACTAAAATGCCGCCATGACAAGATGACTATCGCCAAGCCACTGCTCCCATATATGTTGGTATGACGTGCATAAATACTCGCCTTGCAACACGGCATTTGTCGTGTGTATCCATGAAGGAAAAGATATCCAGCATAATATTATCGGGAAGTTTACCAAATTCGCTGTTTGCCAAGGATTGGTTCGTGAGAAGTTGGCTATTTGCCTCAGCAACTGCCCTGCAAGCCCCACGGCGAGCCATTGTGACGATCAGCTCTTTCCGGCCACAATCAGTCGAATAGTATTGGGGTTGCCAAAACAACACGTTAAAATTATGTCCTGTAAACACAGCGCACTTGCAGATTTGACGCGAATCAAGCAGTTCAAGTCAAAATTTAATCCTGGAATTAGTTCGATATTCGTATTGGCTATTAGAATCAAATTCATTGTGAATCTCGCCAGTGGCGGATCCAGCAAAATGTATTGGGGGGGAGGGGGGTTCCAAGCTTCGCTTAAGATATACCAGTAAATCGCAGAGAAGCTACGCGTAATCCAGATCACAGTCCCTCTATGATAGAGGGACTGTGTCCAGATCATATGAATCGTCATTCGTTTGGGGGGGGGGGGATGCCTCCCCCTATGCATCCGCCACTGAATCTCGCTGCGGCTGCGTTCAAACGAATGACATAACTTTTTCATATCCTGATACACCCGACATTTATTGGACCCTCGAGTTTCTGCGATTATAATAATGTAATCTATCCACCGAGTTTTCGTATTTTGGAATTTGGTTAAAGAAAATCATTTTACAGGAGACAAGAACAACATAAATTTGACCATAGACCCTGAACGAAGTTACTTGATCAAATTTGAAAATGCACACCCGTTGAAATGAAATGAAATGAAAGTAAATTTTGATTAACATAAAGGGTAAATTAATCACGATTAAATTAAAACAGGTTAACCTCGGAAAAGGTTTCGAACCCATTTTTCCACGACTTTCTTTGCCCTCGGTATCTCAAGCCAATCGTACCCCTGAAATATCATTAATGGATGTTTCAATGGGAAAAGACCAATGTATTTACCTCATTATAATTCACATGGCATGCAGATTTTGATTATTAGTATTTAATCCAAATAATAGACATATATTTCAACATTTAAGAAGTTTTCGATAAGAATGTGTTTTTGATTGTTATCATTGATGAAGATTTGCCCAAATCCGAAAAACTGAAGATTTTTATAAAACTAGGTACCCCAGTACTTCACAGTGTGCAACTCGCGCAATCATATGGCTTGTTTCGTATTATTCGGTGTTTTATGTTATAAACTATTATCACGGGCACATACATTACATATTATAACAATTCACATAGCATGTCATTAATTTTGAACAGACATAATATTATGGCCATATTTTTTTAAAATTATTATTAGTCCACATACAATTATAATGACTAATTTTATTTTTTTTATCGAGGCTTCTGAATGTGTATCCTGAGTGACCTAAACTTATATGGTCTGTTACATGACGCTATCTGTGCGATAAAACGGCATGGTGAAGATTGCTTACACGATGTCTGATGACGTCACATCAGCCCATCCTCTAATTAGCACAATAATGATTATGAGTCAATACTGTGTATTATTTTTTGAATATAAACCAGAAAAAATTGTAGTGTGATTAACTGTCCACACTATCCAACTTGTAGTATTATAAATGATGAGTATGAGATCGTTTAAACATGTTTTCAACAGAATCAAGGAAAAAAACGTATGTTGTTCAAAAACGTATGTTGTTCTTTCATACCCTTACCTTCCGACCATGGAAGGTACTAACGGAGTACCTTCCATGCTCTGACCAACCCCACTTATATAGCACTGGTTATAAATTACTGCACGATTTGCCATAAAGCCACTATGTAATTATGACAGTGACAATGACTCATCTCTGTCACAATCATAGTACTGTTTATAATATACTTCGTAATGTGGTTTACGTGTTGGACTAAAAAATATGCATTGTAATAAGAATAAACACAATGTCCACCCATAACCCCAACTCCCAGTCATATGCTGCTTATGTATTATTATTTAATATGAAGGACCAAGAAAAAAATTAACTGTGTGCTGTAATTAAAATATGCCCCGCCCAACAAACTTCTATTGTAAGAACGGTATGTAGATCATGGAGCACTAAACAAAACGTTGTATAATAATCTCTTATAGTACCGCCCCTTTCCAACCCACGACCACTCTGCAATAGTGATGAATTAATTTGTATTATGATTACGTAAGACTGGAAAAACAAAAACATAGTGACACACCTTCAAATATGCTTTCTATAAATCCTACTGACGTCACAGGGTGATATGATTTACTTAGAAACAGAAAAACGAAATCAAAACTCGTCTTGCGATTGTTAGCATTTTTTTGCAGAGAACCATGTAAGGTACTCCGTTAGTACCTTCCATGAGAGAACTAAATCAGGCGTATTACACATCGACATCTTGTTTAACTAGTACTAGAAACTTACAGATTAGACTTTGAACTATTTTCATTTATTTAACTCCATTGTACAAATATAGAAAAAACGATCATTCGAAAATTATTGTGTGATTATTCCCATACATATTAAAAATGTGTATGGAAAAAGATGGCTGTGATTTGAAAAAGTCATATGCAAAATAATCGGCCATTTTAAAAAAAAAATTAAGAATTCATGTACTACTCAAAACTCGCATTTTTGATACATTTTCGAGGATGTTTTGTGATAAAAATTAGTTTGGATTTCGTGAATTGTTTGAGTATTTTTTTAATGATAGCGAACTATTTCAATAGGTGGCTAATTTAGAAGGACCATGATCGAATAAACATGGACAAAACGATGTTTGCATGAAAGGACAAACTTGCCAAACTTCAACTTATGAAATAATTGGTTTTGGTAGAGTAAGACTGAACTAGTATGTATTAATGTGGCGAAGCCCTTCATGACGGAGTAATAATTATCAAAAAAATGAAAACCATGGTTAAGTCATTAGAATGTTAAGAACATTTTTTTCCAAAGAGTTATTTTGTTTTTTCGCTTACTCGAATGTTTTATGTCCACGAGTTACGTGTTATATTGCACATTCCCCTGCGCAAACTTGTCAACGAGAATCGAGACACCAAAGGGTCTATAAATCTGATAAATTATGTTTCAAAAAGTGGGCAAGAGGTCAATTTTTGACATTTTAAAGTTTTGCTATTTTCGACTTCTTCTTTTAAATTTGGGTGGATCTCTGACTGGTTTATTCATTTCGTTTTTGCTAATTTTGGTATAAATGCTACTAAAGTATTCCAACTAAGCAGCGGAGCTATTTCAGCCGACAGTTTCGAGACCTCCGTCGAATAGAACACAAGAACGCAAGACACGAAACCTCTAAATTACGAAAATAGTGTGGACTTATAGTGCGGACCACAATATGAGAAAAGTGGGTCGTACTTACGGGCGTAAAAAAAGTCTTGCTGATGTAAAAAATGGTTCCTGCGGACGATAAAACTTTGGGGGTGGTACTGTCTTTGGAAAGCTGTATATACAAACGCGCCACCATATATAATTCCTTTTTAGCCAAGGTGTATATAATAGCCCCCCTCCCCATTTTTTTTTACAAAAGCATGTATGACAGAGACCTGCAATTTCAGTATTCATTACTGAATTAAAGACATAAAGTTAAATAAAACGCCGAAAAGCATCGGCCAAGTCATACAAATAGTTGATTCTGGTAGAATGGTAAAAATGTCAAATTGTATTTCATAACCCAATCATGTTGGTGACTGACGCTGGGAATGTAGATGTCCACACTATACATAATTAGAATACTACCGTGAAATACAGTTATTTTCTAATATTCAATCAGCCCCGAGTGACTGTGTGATTGACACTCAGAGATATATCCATAATTAAATGATAACTGAAAGTTGTCTTTTGATAACAAAAACAAACGCATAAATATATTTTAAGTAATTTACGTCATGTGCATTATTTGATGCTGATTTAGAATAGTACACCTCCAAGTGATATTGAATCATTTCTCTGTTGGTTCATTTTCAAGAAGAATCCGAATCTGACGCTAACTGTACAATCAAGGAGACGAGCGTTCGTTTGTTGTTTATTTCCTCAAAACACGGAAGCGCATGTTATTACTTACTGGAGGAGAGAAGTATTGAACTAAAAGATCATCATGGCGCTCACGAATGATACTGTGCTCGATATTGATAAGGTAATTTTCCGATTTTTATCGTTTTCTTAAATTATCTAAACTCAAAATAATGTTTTTAACACACTGGAGTATATTACTACACTCTCCATATTGCTGGAAGTTTTTAAAAAACGCTGTGACCGAATAGACCATCCATGTGTGAGGACGTTCGACATTGCCGTCGCATCAAATAAACATGGCAACACATTGCTTGCCACGTCATATTGGCGTTGTAGCAATGAAATATAACAACTTAAATTTAATTGAAAATGTGTTGTTTTGTTAATTTTAGGACAGAGATGACGGGGAAGAATTGAAATTTCAAGGTAAGCTTACAAATGCAAAATTCGAAGACTTTTTCATAATAATTTGGGAGCTAGGACTAAGTGAGGAGATACCAGGGACATTACTAACAGGTGTTAAAAATATAATCTGTCGTTACCGCTCGTAAGTTGTGTGATTTTATGTTCACGCAAGGCCAACCTTATGTGTTTAATAATATTTATAACAAATATTTCTCAATAGTTTCAGGGTTTTCATTCAATTTATTGAAAAATTCTCCTGAGATTAATAAATTTCCTGTGTGTAGCACGCATATATCATTGACCTGTCCCTGGATTTAACTTAATCATCAGTCATCCACTTTGTTCACAAAATGTCGGTAGTTTGAACATTTTTGGATAATTCTGTACAGATGTGTACATTTTTTGGGGAAAAGATTTTAACTTTACAGCATCAGACTATTTTCATCAGCTGTTACCATTGACTGATACGCATTCATTGTAAAGAATTAATATTCTTTGTTCAAACAATGCAGTAGTTTCACAATAAATTATACATTTTCCAGATTTCGGTGATAGTAACATTGAAGCAGATGCAGATGGACAGACGCACACTTTTAATAATTATCCAAGCGACAACGAAGATGAAGAGGACAACACTGAGGTAGGCAACTTTAATACTGATTTATCATTACTACTTTGCATAATAATGTACCAGTTGTTGCTGACTTTGAACCCCAGTCTTTCAACACCTACTGCAAAATAAACTCGTATTTCTTTGAATTTTGATCAAGACAGGTAATCAACATTTATATCTGTTTTTCCCAAATCAGCTAAGAAATGATAAAAAAATACATGAACACATCACCTGCTAGCTTTGTTTTCCATTCATTTCGGCTATCTGTGGCTATCTATGTAAGAAGGGTTATTTTTATAGTAAAAATGTTTATTAAACATAAAACTAAGACCATGGATATGTGAACCCCTAAAAAATGCCATACCGGTATTGATGATGTATTTAGCAATCAATAATGAAAAACATGAATATGAATGAATGCCTTCAAATAGAGTATTTGTGCAAATAGATTTAATGAAGTTCTGCAGTAAGACTTTACCCATACACTTGAATTCTTGGTTACGGTATTTCCACCATGTTGACTTGACTTTTGTAATATGTTTGTTCCAAATAGAGGGTGCTCAATTCTTTCAGTACATTAAACCTGTCTTTTAATCTGTAATTTCGCTAATTCAAAATGTAGCCGAGTTAAAAAAAATTATATTCTCACTATGAGATTGTTGGCAATTCAGCTAAATTAACATTCTATTAATTCATGCATTCTGTCATGTTTATAATACGTATTAACTTATGTTTATATTTCCTGTAAAATAATATCTTTTAATCTAAAACTAAATATATAAATTTTCTCTAGTTATTGACAGGTCGTAAAAAGTCCCATTCATTTTGGACGTTTGAATACTATCAGAGTTTCTTTGATGTAGAAACTTATCAGGTAAGGATTGTTATCATCTCAGTTTGTTTACCATGAATCTACAACAAGTGGTTACAGGGTACATCTGATGACAGTGACATATTGGTGTTTGAGTACCTTTAAAGTTGTACTTTGTGAGCAATTTATGTAGCTTTATTGGGGTCTTCGGACAATAACATGGATGTGAATTATTTCGTGGTCTCAATTTGCATCATGATACATAGTAGAAATTTTTGTGTAAACTTTTCTCTTCTCCAATTAGGTTTTAAGAAGGCTTCTTGCATCATTCGTCCCCAAACCTGGCAAAAGTACTATCAGTGATATTAGACCTAATCCTGATTTGTATGGTGAGTAGCATTGTATATTGAGAATTGCATACTTAAAATATACAAAATTGATATCTAAATGTAAAACAATTTTAAAAATGAAATCCCTATGCACATTGTGATACTCCAGTGATTCATCTTATTTTGGTGGACATCTGAGAGATTTGCAAAATAATATTCATGTGAATGACTATTTAGTCATCTTTGTTTCAGTGCAAGTGAACTGCACTATTAAATTGACCTACAGTATATCATTTCAGTGCAATTGTATAAGCTAAAAAACAATAAATCTACATTGCAGTGTCAATTTCCCCTTCAATGTGAATCTGTTTAATTACTTGTATAAATTACGTGGCCTCTATATTCATGTATTTTCACTGACTCAAATCACTTTGAATAAAAGAACATGCTTGGATATCTGGGGATAACATGAGCAACTCCTATATTTCAATGAAATACCTGTATGTACATTTGTTGAAGACACCATGTTTTTTAGTAAAAATATGCTGAAAAA